CAGTACAACTGACGGTCCCTTACACCCCCTCCATGGGCCCTTCCCCTCACTGCTCCGGGCCCTAACTCGGCACAGAGGCCGCAAATCTGTCTGCCATGCAAGACGCCATCGCAGAGCAGGCACTGCCTGGCCTTGACCATGTCGCGTGTCCACTACAAGTTCTCCTCCAAACTGAACAATGATACGGTCACCTTTAGCGGCCTCCACATCTCCCTGAGCGATCTCAAGGGCCAGATCATGGGCCATGAGAAGCTGAAGGCGGCCAACTGTGACCTACAGATCACCAGTGCCGAGACCAAAGAAGGTGCGTGGGAGCAGTGGCCTCAGGGCCTCGAGGACAATATGTTCTGGGTGGTAACTCTAACTTCAGGCTTAGCCTTTAAAGTGGTTGGATCTAAAGCTTGCTGGTTCAGAATTTTCCAAGTACTCTAAGCTTTTACAGTTCAGTAACGGTTCCTTTTCCCAATGGTAATCTAGTAATAGAAGCAATGCTAATATAAGCTAAAAGTAAACAGGATTTTTGATATCGGTGGGAAAAAATGATGTGATGGACTTTTTTTTAAGGTGCTGGGAAGGCAAAATGGATATGGGTGGGACCTGCTTTAAAAAGGCAAGTGTGGGGTCTTCTTCCATGCTTACTATAGAGGCTTGTTCTGTAAAGGCAGAATTCCCTTCAACCCTTCAAAAAGCCGGTACTCAAGAATGATGATTGAAACTTGCCTGCTTTTAATTTGATCTGAATTTCTTGACCTGTCTTTTATGATTAATGTTCTCACAACATTCTGGAAGAACTGCAGACTCCAGAAGTCAGCTTGCTTAATTACTCCTTCCTGCCCTGTAATATTCTGACTGCAAACACCTGGAGACTGCTATTTTGCTCATCAGCCAAAATACCCCGAAAAAAAAAAAAAGCAAGCAAAGAATGAACTCTGAACTTGTCTTAGATGCATAGTTCTAAGGAAGAATAGTGCCCTTGTAAGACTGTCTGCTGAACTCAGAACTCGCTTGAGTTCAGCGGTGCAGCATGCACTTGACAGTTTTAGTAATGCCACAACGTGATGCCTTCAGAACAAACCCGTGCTAACTCTGAAGTGAAATCATTTGGCCTCACAGCTGACATCTATCTGTCTGTCTACTGGAATGTCTTCAACACTGTGCAAACTTAGTGTTTTCGAGAAGACATGGAAGCCAATTTTAAACCTTGCCTTTCAGTGTGCCATTTTGTGTTACAGTGTGGGGGATTACTTCGGTTAACCCACAGAGTGCAATTAATTTTGGGGCTGTCGTG